CCTGAAACTTCCCCATAATCTGTCATCAGTGTGCTGCCCTCTTACTTCTCCATGCTTTCCACAACCGGACGTTGGGACTAGCTAGATCGATATATAATTTTCCTGTCACTGGCGCTGACGAACGCTCGAAACTTAGAAGAACGCTGTCGCAAGGGACCACACTTCGACGATAAAGTGATTCTGATTACCCCTTCTTTTTCTATGTAGCCGCCGTACACCCTCAAACTACGATCGCGCCGGGCGATTTTGCCTAAAGGTTGTAGAGTTATAGGGAAAGACTCACTCTAAGTCAGGGTTCAACACTGGGATGGGTGAAACGCCTGAGTTCGAGCCAGCATCCCTATCCTACCAACCATCTTCCCAAGTTCTCTAAACACCAATTCTACAATAATTTTTCGCTTTTCTTCACAAATGGGGCAGAGGTGGGAAGTCATCAGCCAACTACCAAAAACAACTGCTCGCTAAAGTAGCGTAGGAGTCCTGCGCAATGCACTTCGAGGGATTTTACATATAGTATTTCGGACAGGACACACAAACTATGTGGGACTTTCAAATCTCATTGCGCTTTAAAGGCGTTCCAGGTCACGCTCTTTTTCCAATCAGTTCTCGATTGCTGATATGACACCGATACCAGTTCCTTCCCCTATCGTAACACGGTCATCTCTGGTATCGTTATATCGTATATCTCTACTGCTCGCAAAAGGGAAGTGAGGAGTGACCTCACTCTTTGGGTGTGGACATCCTGCATCACCAGCATCTGGCCACTTTCCAAACCCTTTCACGTGCCGATAGTGGTATATTCGTCGTCTCTGGATCTGCACACCATAATATATGCGAAAGGGAACATCCTCCCATAAGAGAATCATATACAATACCTCTCACCTCGAGGGGATATTCTCAACACTACAAGAATTCTCCTCGCTTTTTGTCATGAGTCTCATCATCAACATCAACCATTAAAGGCGCGCTCCTCGTTCATTTGATTTCCTGACCCCTCCTTTGTGCAGGGGAGTTCTCACAACCAAAGGAGATGTACTACCCTCAGCTTGAGCATATGAGAGAAGCGCCACCCACTGACCACCGCAACGCCCACTTCTAGTTTTCCGGTGGTGCGGTTGTTCCACTTCCAATTTCTCTCTCCGACAGCGAGCAGATAATGAAAAAGAGCTGATACCGACAAGAACTCGTTCAGTCACGTACTTGCATGCGATCTTATACGCCGTGGTCATATGTGAACAGTTCCAAAAAGAGACGAAACTGTGTGTAGAAGGAAGCGACGCCATGTACCGCTTTGAAAACAGCAGAATAGGAACAAATGCAGAAACGCCTGCGCGGAAATAGCATATTTCCCAGAATGAATGCTGGGGAGCGGAGCCATCAAAATTCTGTACGTAATTTCTGTTTCTCGCGATTCTGTGGTTTTTCAAATCGATACATATACTCAATTCGCAGTTTCGTCTTTTCTTCGGTTGTCGTGTTCAGGGGCAGCCATACGAGGCATTTCAAGCTGTTACAGTTATGTTATGTAAGTTATTCACTATTTTCCCGTTAGTGCCTTGTTTTTCTGGGATAGCTCAATTCTTCATTATCTCCCCATCTGTACTTCAGCGGCACAACTCGCCATTTTTGGACACAGGGCGAGTTTAAGCTATCTTCATGAATAATCGTCACCCGTGGCAACTGGAATCCGCAATTTCTAGCAGAAGCGTTGTATTGAGATTATGAGCACCCCCTGAGTGATTCTCATGACAAAAAAACTACAAACTCGGAGGTTCTGAAGAGATTAGGTGCTTTTTCCGTGTCCCAGTTTACTATAAACTGCACGCATAATGCAGCCTCAGAACAAATACACAATCGAATTCTTACCGATACTCCTTGAGCCTGTTGTATCTTGTCAGCATTTCCATTTTCGGCAGCCTCCTCCTTGGGCTCAACTTTTGGTTGTTCCATTTCAACGTCCGTCATGAGTGCACTACAACACAACTCTAGTTAGAAAAACAGGAGGGATAACTGGTGTAAACTCGTGGACGGGCAAACACACGACTTGACTCAATGTAAGAATGACTATGTACACAAAAAAATACACCATCAACCCTCTAGTAACAACTGAGCACGATAGGAAGGAGACGTAGAAGGTCGCGCCGGGCGGGGCAGCGCACGTCGTGGGGCTTGAGGCAAAATCGATAAGGCATTGACATTTTCGTTCCGGGACCACTGCGCATAAACAAGTCAAATCCTTTAGCATATTGGGACGCCACGACGAGCACGACGCGAAACTGCGTGGAAAAAGAGAAATTGAAGAAGTTTTAGAGAACAAACCTTAGATACCACACCATCAAATAAATGAAAACATGAAATATTTCTAATTATTATCGGCAGTTCTATTAAACGAAAGAAGACTTCCTCTTCCTTCTTTTCCACAGCAGCAAACAATAATAATGCAAAACGAGAAAAGTGATAACAAGCAGAAGATTGCTGGCTATTTTTTGGGCAGAGCAGAAAGAAACAGCGGCATACCCCAAGACTGGGAAACAAATCGAGGATCCTAACAGAAGTCGCATTCAATTAGAAGAAAACGACATTGTTGCAACACAGCAGTTGCTTCTGCACTGATGGTACCGAGAAAAAAACAAGAAATGCCGCGAATGAGCGGCGATCATTTGTTTGCAATCAGAAGCGACTTTCGGATAAGAAAAGGAAGTAATATGTTTAATATCAGGGACCTGGTCCCAAGCTATTACCAGGTTGGCAATGAGCCAATGGACTCAAATGGATGACGAACTCGTAGAGTCGATGGCCGAATGAAAGTCGGGCGTTACTACATATAATCAGGGAGAGCGGGGGGCCCCCCCGCCCCCTGGAAAAAAAAAAGCGGCGCAATTCGGAGACGGGGAGAGGGGGAGGCTATTCTGCACTTTTGCTATTTCCCACGGACGGACGTGTTGAGCTATCAAGTGAAGACCTGTGGGAACCTGTGAAGCCACGAAATATTACCAGGCTAAACGTGTAGAGACTTTCAACTTGTAAATGATTACCGTTACAAACTCTTGGCGAAACGCCACGAATACCATAAAAGTAGCATTTACCCTGATGGCTCGACGAGCTTGCTCAAGCTTCACAAGGGATAGCAAGTTTCACCAGAGTAGGACTTGTAAATCGGAACTA